GATCAGGCCAGGCTACTGTCCATGCTGAAGGCACACAGTCTGTGGCTCTTCTGTCAAACCCTAGCTGCCAAACGCTTCCCATTCAAGGGGCTCATGATGCTGCTGCCAGGGTGACACCAAGCTACGAGGTGAACCATCCCATGCAGCCTGAACAGCAATTTGGTAGGAAAGGGTTGAATGAACTGACAGGAATCAGGGGAGACAGGGCATCTCTTGGTGATGCCAACTGCCCTTCTCCATTGTCTGCCACCCAAGTCAATAGGTTCTTTGTCCATCCTTGCCCTTGATCCAGCCAGGCCAAGGATATTCACTCTGGGGCTCCTCTGGTGACCGCTTAACCCAGGTGAACCAGAGCCAGGAAAGGAATAGAGCCAAGAATAGCAGAAAGAATAAATGTAATAAATGGAAAAAAAATCAAGACCTTTTTCCTTGGTCCTGCTTACCCGCTAAGAACACCGAGAACCAAGTTAAGTACAAAAAATGACCCTATGATGATTAGTGTAACAAAATAGATCCAGGGCCAGTCCCTTCCTACGGCATCATTGACCTGGAAGAACGGAATGATAGTTAGTGAGGCACACTTTGCAACCGAGCACGGCCAAGCACCACTCCAGAGACACTGACCCAGCAGCACTCCGATCTGGGGAACCCGTAGGTACAAATCAGAGACCAGATGCCAACTGTCCCGCCCAGCCAATGTTTCCGATTTGGGGGGTTGAATGAAAACACTTTGTTTTCCTGGGCCTGTTGGGTTCCCCTCACTGAGGATCCTGGCAGTGGGCAGAGTGGAGGCTGGACCCTTGCTCGGCTGCATGGTCAAGAAGACATAGAAATGATCAGCTTACCCGCTCAACACACCGAGAACCAGATTTAGAACGAAAAAGGATCCAAAGATGACCAGACTGACAAAATACACCCAGGGTAACTCATAGCCCATAGCGTCCTGCATCTGGAAAGATGAGGGAGAGTTAGGGAAGACAGAAAGCAGAATTGGGTTAGAGCAAAGAGAGGCAAGGAGAAAAGGGCGCAAACAGATTCTGGAGGAGACACATGGGATTGAAATGTTGGGTTTTTTCTGTCGGTATGATCAGGATGCAGAGCTCTCCTGGCATCTGCTACATTCAAACTACTTCCCCGTGACCTTGACTTGCACTGTCCCGCATGTTTGCGGGCTTGGCCCTAGGATGAATCCTGTCTGGCTTTCCAGGCACAGAGGTTATTTCTGATGCTTTCTGGTCACTTGTCTAAGAAGGTGGTTCACCTCAAAAGAGGATTTCTTCAGCACATGATTATTTGAGCTCAGTTGGGTTTGTATGGCTGGTGCATTTTCCAGTGTCCTCTGAGGCACTTAACCTTGGGGCCTGAAGTGCTTGGGCTATTGCTGACAGAGAGGAAGAAGTGAAATCTTTGAGGGGATGTGAGGAAGGAGCTTCCTAAAGGACTTATTACCTGGACCCTGGGTTGCGACCAGAATTTAGAGGCAATTCTTTGCTCTTCATGAGTTCGAAAGGCCACAGGTCAGGGAAGGGCAGCCATTGGTTTATGAATTCATAGACCTGTTCTTGTGTCTGCAACCCCAGGATAGAAGGAAAGGGTCATTCGCCAGGAAACTGCGACTTAAAATGAAGAGTCACACACCTCCACACGAGCTGGGAGTAGTGGTGTACTGGGGTTGGTTCCTATTGACTTTGTGGAGTTAACTGCATGCTGGTCTCCTCCAATGCCATCTTCATTGACTTCACATTTGAACCTGACCATGGCAGAAGTATTTACACCAAGGGAATGGCATTTGAACTTGACCACGGCAGAAGTATTTACACAAAGGGAATGGCATTTGACCTTGACCATGGCAGAAGTATTTACACCAAGGGAATGGCAAATGATCCAAAACAATACTTCCTCCACCTCTTACACCTGATAAACAGCTGAACAATTATGGGCACACATTTATGAACTAGAAGGTAGAGGTGGAAATGCTATGTCCAAGAGCCACGTTTTTAGCAGAGGACATTTATTTTGATTGTTTCTCAAACCTCTCTTCTCTGATGCTTTCTGACAACTACACAAGGCTTATGCTTCCTAATATTTATTGGGTGTCACTATATTTTGGTTAGAGAAATCCATCAACTTACAGTGACGAGTGCAAAAACTGTGCCAAAGTCTTGGGGGTGGGGGGGCAGCGTTCATTGATATGAAGGTTCACAACACATGTCCTCTTAACCATATTATAATTAAACCCAACTGAACATGTGTTCAGGATAAGGTGACCAGACGTCCCGCTTTTGGCGGGATAGTTCCAATTTTTCAACAATTTTTCCCGCGTCCTGCGGCGTTTTAAAAAAGTCCCGATTTTTGGAAAGAATGCACGACAAGCTAGGGTATACGGTTTTCAGCTGCCATGTGGCTATTTCGCCAGGATATGAGTTTTATCAATGGTGTCCCGCTTTACCAATATTAAAATCTGGTCACCTTAGTTTAGGAGCCCCAGTGGCGTAGTGGTTATACGTTGGACCGAGATCTGCATGGTCAGCAGTTTGAGACCAGCAGCAGCTCTATGAGCGAAAGACTGAACTTTCTCCTCCGTACCCAGTTACAGGCTCAGAGACCCACAGGGGTCGCTGTGAGTCAGCACGGCCTCCACGGCAGGGAGTTTGGTTTTCAACGCATGTTTCTTGAGCATCTCCAGTCCCCCACCCCTCGCACTTCTCTCAGAGCAGTGACCACTTGGTACCGCTATGGTTTACTCATTTCTGATGTCTCTTATCCATCTCCCCTGCAGTTTGGGTCTGTCTCATTCACTAAGGTATCGTTCACTAAGGTATCATAAGTGCCTGCCATGTGGTAGGTGACCATTCAACGTCTGTCGGGTGACTACATGAACTAAATGTATGTTGCAAACAGGTGCTCAAAAGGGGAAGATCTTGCTAGTGTGTGTGTCTTGCAATGCAAGGTAGCCAAGGCAATCATCGGAGAAACTCTGTCAGGTTCCGGAAGCACAAGAGGGAGGCGGATCCAAGAAGACCTCCTCCCTGAGGCTGGAGGGACAGGTGAGGGCCACCCCGGCAACATGCTGTCCGCATGTGCCATGCTGTGGTGGGAAGGGAGCTCTCCTCGGAAACTGGGCGGCTAGTACAAACGAAGCCTGCAGCTGTCAAACCATCCTGGCTCTGGGATGGAGGATTTTCCCAATGGCTGACTTACTAAAATAGCCAGCGAAACAGCAGCTGTTGAGAGGCAGGGCGGAAAGGTCTGGTGCGCACCTATTCCTCCCCCCGCCCCCCAGCCTGTGAGCTCGACCTTGGAGGGCTTTACTGCCTTTCGTGAGCTGGAGGGAGCTAACTGCCTAAGCCATGCCAGCAAAGGACCCGTGCCAACAGAGGGACGTTCAATGCCGGCCTTCACTCGCAGAAGAAGAACCAAAGTACACCAACCCAGGTGGGGGAAGGACTGGTGGAACGATTAGGAAGGACAAAAGTGGAGTACCCTCCGTGACCCCGTGGACTACAGACCACGTAGTGATGGCCACGTAAGGCCAGGGTCTGTAAGTCACGGTGTAATATGAGGGGCTGTGGAGGGATGCTTGGATCATTGTCACCAGTATCAACCCACTGCCACCGCGTCATTTCTGACTCATGATGACCCTGTAGGCCAGGGTGCAGCTGCCCCAGGGCGCTTCTGAAGCAGTCATCTTTAAGGAAACCAGTCATCTTACTTCTGCCGAGCAACTGATAGTTTCAAACCATTGACTTCTTTTGGATTCGCAGGGAAGCGCTTACTCAATTAGTGACCAGGGCTCATGTGATTGTTCTTTGTAGCTGTCATATTACAGGGGCTGTTTGTTCCGTGTGCATTAATTTCATGTCTACCATGTGTGCGTAGTAGACATCGTGTTCCGTGTTGACCTGTGTCCTACAGTCAAGGCAGCAGCGTTGAAAGCAGCACCCAGATGGGAATCCACGGGGACTTCTGTTGAAAGTTGGATCTAAAGCCATGCCAAAGCCTCTCTCAGATGAGATGCTGCCTCTGTAGGTCATTAGCACGTCTTTACTTCTTTGGGAGGAATGGGGAAGTGCTGAAGTGCTGATGAAGGCTATGAACTCTCACCAGGAAAAATAACAGGGGCACTCCAGGGTGCACTGACACCCCGAAGCCCATCCTCTCACCCTGCGCTACTGTTGTTGTTGTTGTTAGACATCGTTGGGTTGGTTCGGACTCACAGCCACCCTGTGTTCAGCAGAAGGGAACCCGGCCTGGTCCTGCAGCTCCTCACAATGGTTCTTGTGTTTGAGTCCATCGATGCAGTCGTGTGTCAATCCATCTTGTCGAATATCTTCCTCTGTTTAGCTGCCCCTCCACTGTACCAAGCACGGCGTCCTTCCCCAGAGACTGCTTTCCCCTGATACCATGTCCACAGCAGGCGAGAGGAAGTCCCGCCACCCTGGCCTCGAAGGGGCATCTAGCTGGGCTACTAACCTGCTGTAGAACATCAAGCTCTAGTCTGCTCTGGGCGGACCCCGAGGAAGACTTTCCCCAGGTCTGAGGGTTAGGACCACGAGAAGGTCTATTCTGAAGAAGTTCCCTTTGTTCCTCCCTTGGGCAAGGCAGGGCAGCAGGTTCCAGGAGTAGAAGGTGTGCTCACAGTTCACCCTCGCAGAGCTGCCTGCAGAGCTGGGCAGATGGTGAGTGGGAAGGAGGCCTGGTTGGCGTCCAACCAACCCCCTTGAGATGGAATAATTCTTGATGGGTTCCTCAGAGGCCCTTAAACTTTGCAAATAATTTTTAAAGATTGTTTCTTTTTTAAAATTTTATCTTACAGTTTTATTGGCCTATAATTCCCGTATCATAACAATCCAACAGTTCGATTATATTAAGAAGACTTGTGCAATGATTGCTACATAATGATTGTTTCTGCGATCATTTGACCTCCCAGAACAAGGCTCTCAGACTCTTCCCACGCACCTTGGGGCCCTTTCTTAGTCTCCCTCGATGGTAAATAACTTTCAGCATCCTCCTAAACCCCAAATGGATGGAGCTAAAGACCTCCTATCATTGTCCCATAGCCAGGGCCAGGAAAACATCCCCCAACTCGCTACAAGATGGGCAGTTCTAACCCATGCAGTGGTCTCTGAAGAAAAGCCTGCAGCTTGCTTGCTAAGGGGAAGCCTACGGAATGCAGTTCAACTCCACGCGCACGGTCACTGTACACTGGAAACAACTCCCAGGCACGTGGCTTAGTTGTTTTTATTAATAGCCAGGGATAGAGCCTAGAGCTCACTGCTCTGCAAGGTGAGAGGAACTCTGATCCCACCTCTCCCTTGTTTTGGGGGTTCTGCTTTGGTGCCATGCTTGGCTAAGGGTCATATGGGGACTAGCAGGTGAGGGGCAGAAGGCAGGAGGGCAGAAGAGGCATCCGCAGGCTTCCACGGCAGTACTGGGAGCCCACCCCTTTGGTAGGCCCTGCTCTGAGAGGAAAGCACTTCTTCCCCATTCTTTCTTAGTTTCCATTCTGGGCCACTTGCTTTGGGTGGGTGGGGGGCAGTCTGGGAG